TCTTCCAGACAGTCCCCAGGGAATGAGGTGAAGCTGTGCCAGGGGAGGTTTAGGATGGATTTTAGGGAAAGGTTCTTCCTCCAGAGAGTGCCCAGGCTCCCCAGAAAATGGGATGAAGCTGTGCCAGGGGAGGTTTGGGATGGATTTTAGGGCCCCCAAAGGGTGCTGGGCACTGCCCAGGCTCCCCAGGGAATGGAGAATGGGTTGAAGCTGTGCCAGGGGAGGTTTGGGATGGATTTTAGGGCCCCCAAAGGGTGCTGGGCACTGCCCAGGCTCCCCTGACAATGGGCACATTCCCAAGCCTGCCAAAGCTCCAGGAGCTGTTCCTAGGGATGCCCAGGGTGAGATTTTGGGGTGTCTGTGCAGGGCCAGGAGTTGACCTGGATGATCCTCATGGATCCCTCCCAACTCTGATCATTCCATGATCTTAAAAACAAAATACCTGGGAGGGACTGGCAGAAAATTTCTACTTTGTCCCTCAGATCAGTGACAGTTGTCACTCCTGGTTCTCAGTGGGTTTGTCCCTCAGATCAGTGACAGTTGTCACTCCCTGGTTGTCCATGGGGGTTGTCCCTCAGATCAGTGACAGTTGTCACTCCCTGGTTGTCGTTGTCACTCCCTGGTTGTCCATGGGGATTGTCCCTCAGATCAGTAACAGTTTGCATTCCCTGGTTCTTGGTGGGTTTTTCCCTCAGATCAGTGACAGTTTTCATTCCCTGGTTGTCGTTGTCACTCCCTGGTTGTCCATGGGGTTTGTCCCTCAGATCGGTGACAGTTTTCACTCCCAGTTTCTCGGTGGGGCTGTTGGGTGCTGCGTGTTGATGTCTCCTCTCTATTTTTCCAGACCAAAGGCTCATCCCGGCCTCCGGGAGCTGCTTCACCTCACAATCCCATGGCAACAACATCCCCTAAAACCCCTCCCTCCCTCCTCACCCTTCCTGTGGTGGAGCCCTGTGGTGTCCCCGCTCCCAGATGGCTGCATGACCCCTGTCCCCCCCAAATCTTCTCTTCCAGAAGAGCTTGAAGCAACGCCTCGGCAAGAGCAACATCCAGGCGCGGCTGGGCCGGCCGGCGGGGACGCTGGCCCGGGGAGCCCTGGGCCAACGGGGGCTGGCCCTGGGCCAGCGGGGGCTGCCCCGGGGGGCCCTGCGGGGCCGCGGGGCCCGGGCCATCGTCCGAGGAGGGGTGGCGCTCCGAGGTCAGTGCCCTGCCGTGCCCTGTGCCCTCGCACGCCGTTCCCGTGGGTGAAACTGGGTTTGTTGGTGTTGCTGATAGTGCCTTGGCCGGGCTGAGCCAAATGGGGGCAACTGTGGGGTTTGTTTCACCCCAGAGATACTTCTGGCCAGCTGGATCACCCCAGAGACACCCCAGATCACCCCAGAGACACTTTTGGCCAGCTGGATCACCCCAGAAACACTTTTGGCTAGCTGAATGTGGTGTTTTTACCCCAGAGACACTTTTGACTGGCTGGGTGTGTGGTGTTTCACCCCAGAGACACTTTTGGCCAGCTGGATCACCCCAGAGACACTTCTGGCCAGCTGGATCACTCTAGACACATTCGGTTAACTGGATGTGTGGTGTTTTCACCCAAAGACACTTGTGGCTGGCTGGATCACCCCAAAAACGCTTTTTGGCCAGCTGGATGTTGCAGTTGGGTGCATGGAGACAACTCCAGACCTGCCAGGGCTCTGGTGGTGGTGGGATGGAGCTTCCTCCCATGGAAGGTTCCTCAGGTTTCCTCTGGTTTCCTCAGGTTCCTCAGGTTTTTTCTCTGATGGAGAAGTTTTGAGGTGATGGTGAAGGAAGGGAGTCAGTTCTGATGGAGGATTTGGATCCAGAGTTTTTATTCTGAATCTACAACAGCTCCAGCAGAGCTCTGGGACCGTGTGGCTGCTGGGGGAGAGGAGGAGGGGTAGGGTACAGGAGGGGAGGTTTCAAGGGACAAAGGACACCTGGATGTCCCCATGTCCCTCCTGGAATTGCAGGACTGACCGACAGCACTCAGCAGGGCTCAGGCTGGGGAAAGGAGAGATGACTGACACACCTGGCAGGGAAATACCAGGGAGGATGAGATTTCCCACGAAACCCCAGCTCAGCTCCCGTTTTTCTGGTTTCCCCACCCAAGGTCAAGGCCTGCTGCGTGGCGGCAGAGGGATCGCCCCCAGGATGGGCCTGCGCAGAGGCGGCATCAGGGGCCGCGGGGGCCCGGGCAGAGGCGGCCTGGGCCGGGGCGCCATGGGCCGGGGCGGCATCGGCGGCAGAGGTCAGTGCCCGGAACGGCAGGGGTTAACCCCGGGATAATCCTGATCCAGCTGGGATCCTGCTGTGAGGCTGAGGTGGGGAGTGGAGCCTGCAGCACCAAGAGTTCCCAGCCTGGAATTCAAAGCTTTAATCCAACACGTGGTGGTTTTATCAGCAGGGTGGGATGGGAAAGCCAAGAGGCAGATGTTGGTGTTAGGCTGGGATTAGGAATTCTTAGGAAGCTCTTGAGTGGTGAGAAGGAGCTGGGAGTGTAGCCATGAGTCAAATACCTCTCTGGGAATCGCCAAGGGGCTGAAAGGGGTGGGAAATCCTGGGATTCAGACAGTGATGTAGTGGGAAATGATGGGATAGAGACAGTTATGGGATTGAGGCAGTGAGGGGTGGGAAATCCCAGGATGCAGACAGTGATAAAGTGGGAAATCCCAGGAATGAGGGGTGTGAAATCCCAGGATGCTGACAAGGATGGAGTGGGAAATCCTGGGATGGAGGCAATGACCAGGTGGGGTGAGAAATCCCAAAATGGACGAAGTTAGGGGTGGGAAATCCCATGAATGAGGGGGTGTGAAATCCCAGGAATGAGGGGGTGTGAAATCCCATGAATGAGGGGGTGTGAAATCCCAGGAATGAGGGGGTGTGAAATCCCATGAATGAGGGGGTGTGAAATCCCATGAATGAGGGATGTGAAGTCTCAGGATGGAGGGGTGGGAAATCCTGGGATGGAGGCAGTGAGGGGTGGGAAATCCCAGGATGTAGGGGTGTGAAATCCCAGGAAAGAGGGGTGGGAAATCCGGGGATGGAGGCAGTGACAGTCACAGGGTGGGAAATCCCGGGATGGACGAAATGAGGGGTGGGAAATCCTGGGATGCAGACAGTGATGGAGTGGGAAATCCGGGCATGGAGGCAGTGACAGGGTGGGGTGAGAAATCCCGAAATGGACCAAGTGAGGGGTAGGAAATCCCTGGATGCAAGCAGTGACCAGGTGGGGTGAAAAATCCTGAAATTAACAAAATGAGGGATGTGAAATCTCAGGATGGAGGGATGAGAAATCCCATCAATGAGGGATGTGCAGTCCTGAGATGGAGGCAGTGAGGGGTGGGAAATCCTGGGATTCAGGCAGTGATGGGGTGTGAAATCCCAGGATGGAGGGGTGGGAGATCCAGGGATGGAGGCAGTGGGGGGTGTGAAATCCTGTAAATAAGGGATGTGCAATCCCATAAATAAGGGGTGTGCAATCCCAGGATGCAGGCAGTGATGGGGTAGGATGAGAAATCCCAAAATGGATGGAGTGGAGTGGTGGGAAATCCTGGGATGGTGGAGTGTGAAATCCCATCCCAGGATGGAGGCAGTAAGGGGTGGGAAATGTGGGAAATCCCATCCTGGGATGCAGACAATGATGAAGTGTGAAATCCTAGGATGGAGGCAGTGACCATGTGGGGTGAGAAATCCCAGAATGGACAAAATGAGGGGTGTGCGCTCCCAGCCCACACCCCCTGACCCTCCCCACCCCGCAGGGCGCGGCATGGCGGGGCGCGGCCGGGGCGGCTTCGGCGGGCGCGGCAGAGGCCGGGGCCGCGGCAGAGGCTCGGCACGGCCCGCCCTCACCAAGGAGCAGCTGGACAACCAGCTGGACGCCTACATGTCCAAGACCAAGGGACACCTGGACGCCGAGCTGGACGCGTACATGGCACAGACGGACCCCGAGGCCGCCGACTGAGGCGCCGGGATCCACCCCGAGGGGAAATCAGACTTAGTGTGTTCTTGGATGTTTTGATACTCTCTGTTGTATTAAACTTTTTTTGGATTGTTCTTTTCCCCGGGATCTTTTTTGGTGGTTTTGCACTGAGGATGGGGTGGAGCTGATGTGGGGAGTCTGGTGGTGGCAGTGCCAGGGGTGCACCTGTGGCTGTGGAGCTCCATGGATGGGGTTTGGGATGAGTTGTTGGGTTTTGGGACAAATTTCTTGGGTTTTGGGATGAGTTGGTCAAGTTTTGGGATGGTTTGTCAAGTGTTGGGATGGGGTTGTTGGGTTTTGGGATGAGTTTCTTGGGGTTTGGGATGGATACCTGCGGTATAACCAGGGCTGGATCCGCGGCGTTCCTCGTGGGATCGGGACCGGACCCGCGGGATAACCGGGGTGTAACGGGGGCCGGACCCGCGGCATTCCCGCGGTATAACCGGAGCCGTTCCCGCGGCGTTCCCGCGGCATTCCCGCGGTATAACGGGATCCGCTCCCGCGGTATAACCGGGGCCGGACCCGCGGCGCTCCCGGTGGGAGCCGGGCCCGGCGGCGCCGGGGGCGGGACCCGTCTGGAGGCTGGCGCAATGAAAGCTCGGCTGCCATTGGCTGGCGGGGCCCGGCTCGGCTGTCACGGGCGCTGCCATTGGCTGAGGCGCGGCGGCGCCTCACGCTCTCGGGCCGCTCCTTTTGTTATTGTAGGGCCGGAGTTGGGAAAGGGCCGAGGGAGCGGGAACGGGACGGGGAGAGGAGGAGGAGGAGGAGAGGGCTCAGAGAAGGAGGAAAAAGCTGGGAGCAGGAGGAGAGGGCTCAGAGAAAGCGAGGGAGGTTGAGGGAAAGGGCTTACAGGAGAAGGAGGCTGAGGGAAAGGCAGGGGCTGATGGAAGGGCAGGGGGCTGAGGGGAAGGGCTGAGGGAAGAGCAAAGAGCTCAGGGCAGGACAGGGACCTGAGGGAAAGGCAGAGGACTCAGAGAAGGCCAGGAAGCTCAGGACAGGGGGCTGAAGGAAAATCAGGGCTCTGCAGGCACGGCAGCAGCACCGTGAGCCGGAGGAGATGCGGCGGGAGCCGGGCCGCGAGTGACGGCAGCCGGGGCCGGTGCAGGTGAGTCCATCCCGAGCCACCTTCGGTCCCCTAAAGGTCCCTGCTGTGTCCCCTTCTTAAAGCGTGTCACCCCCTCCTTCAAGCGTGTCACCCCTTAGAACCCCTGTGCCGTCCCTGTCACCTTCCCGTGGTGTCCCAGGAACATCTCCAGGACGAGGTTTGGGACTGGGATCAGCCCGGGGTTCTGGCAGGGCGATGTGGGGTGAGAACGGGGCCGGGTCTGGCCCCACTGAGCCCAGCTTGCCCCAAACCCGGGCTCCGACCCTTCCAGCCTTCCCTGGAGCAGCCTTGGGATGCAGGGAGGAGGAGCAGGACCCCAAATCCCCTCTCCCACCGCTTTTAACCCCAAAACACGAGGCAGGGAGCAGGGATGGGATGAACCGCAGAGCCTGGCGGGGGGATGAGGGTCTCACCCCCCTCAGCATCCCTGGACGTGTCCCCATAGCGAGGTGGCATTTGGGGCCAGACTGGGGGTGCTGGCAGGACACTCAGGCTCGGATAAGGAGCAGAGGGCGGCGATTGTTGTGTCTGCCGCCATCCCGAGGATTTTCCAGGCTCTGGCAGGAAAAGGAGAAGCCGAGAGAGACAGAGCGGGGTTAAGGAGCGGCGCCAGGCCGGGCTCTGTTTAGTCTGGGCTCGGCGGCGGCTGCGGGAGCGGCTCCATCCCGGCTGTTCCGTGCCAGCCTGGGGACAGCGCTGTCCCCGAGCGTGTGCCAGTACCCAGTTCTGCCTGGGGACACCCCAAGTGTCCCTGTGAGCTGTGCTGGGTCACCTCAGCCCACGCTGGGGACAAACTCTGGCACTGAGGGAGCACAGAACGCAGGATTTGGGGTGACATGGCTTTGTCGCCTGAGAGTGCCACCTTCCCTGGTTCCAGTGGCTCGGTGTCCCCTGCAGCAGGGTGACCCTCAGGGACAAACTCGTGTCGTGCCATCAACCAGGGAGCACAGAACGCAGGCTTTGGGTGACATGGCTTTGTCAGCGGTGCCAGCAGCTCGGTGTCCCCTGCAGCAGGGTGACCCTCTGGGGACAAACTCTGGCACTGAGGGAGCACAGAACGCAGGCTTTGGGTGACATGGCTTTGTCACCGGTGCCAGCAGCTCGGTGTCCCCTGCAGCAGGGTGACCCTCTGGGGACACGCCATGTCCCTGGGCGGCGACAGCGGCCCCGGCATCGTGCACAGCCTGCTGTGCCACCGGCAGGGAGGGGACAGCGAGGCCTTCGCCCGCCGCGCCATCCAGAGCCTGCTGAGGAAGCTCAAGGAGAAGAGGGACGAGCTGGACGCGCTGGTGGCCGCTGTCACCTCCGGAGGGGCCCAGCCCGGCCAGTGTGTCACCGTGCAGAGAACGCTGGACGGGCGCCTCCAGGTACCCCGCGAGGGGGGCTCGGTGGGGCTGACACCCCCTGGGGACCCCCGGGATGGAGGCTGAACCCCGGGATGGGGGCTGAGCCATCTGGGGACCCCCGAGATGGGGGCTGAGACCATCGGGATTGGGGCTGACCCACCCTGGGGACACCCGGAATGGGGGTAACCCCCCTGTGGATGGGGGCTGAACCCTCTGGGGACCCCCGGATAGGGATTAACCCCCCTGGGGACCTCCGGGATTGGGGCTGAACCCTCTGGGGACCCCCGAGATGGGGGTTGAGACCACCGGGATTGGGACTGAGCCCTCTGGAGACCCCTGGGATGGGGGTTGAGACCCCTGGGGACCTCCAGGATGGGGAATGACCCCTCTGAGGACCCCCGGAATGGGGGTGACCCCCTGGGGATGGGGGCTGAGCCCTCTGGGGACCCCGGTGTTGTCACTCCAGGGGGTTCCCGGTGTGGGGGTTTGGGGGGTCCCAAACCTCCGAAATCCTCCCCAGAGGGATCCCAGTGTTGTCGCCCTGAGAGGATCCCGTTATTGTCACCCTGGGGGCACCCCGATATCGTCACCCAGGGAGATCCCGCTGTTGTCACCCCGGGTAGGGGTCCCACCCCTCCTTCCCCTCCGTGTCCCCTCCCCACAGGTGGCCGGCAGGAAGGGTTTCCCTCACGTCATCTACGCGCGGCTCTGGCGCTGGCCCGACCTGCACAAGAACGAGCTCAAGCCCGCCCGCTTCTGCCGGTTCGCCTTCGACCTCAAGTGCGACAGCGTCTGCGTCAACCCCTACCACTACGAGCGCGTGGGGACCCCCGGCGGCGGTGAGCGGGACCCCCGAAATGAGGAGGGGTCGCCAAGGGTGGGGGGGGCGCCAAGGGGGGGTCACAGCACCGCTAATTGTAATCATAAACCTTAATCCCCCAAGCCCCCAAACCGGGACTCCCCCAAGCCCCCACACCGTGATCCCCCCAAACCCCCAAACCGGGACCCCCCAAGCCCCCAAACCGGGACCCCCCAAGCCCCCAAACCGGGACCCCCAATCCCCCACACCGAGATCCCCCCAAACCCCCACACCAGGACCCCTCAAACCCCCACACTGGGACTCGCCAATCCCCCACACCGGGACCCCCCTAAACGCCTAAACTGGGATCCTGGTCACCAAGAGGGGGTCACAGCACCCCTAATCCTAACCCAAAACCCCTAATTCCCACCCCAACCCTGTCCCGCAGGTCTGAGCATCCCGAGCACAGGTGAGACCCCGGCCCGGAGCCCCCCGAGCCCCCCGCCGCGGGTGCCCGTGGTCTCCGGTGTGTGTCCCCAGTGTCCCCCCCGTGCCCGGTGTGTGTCCCCGTGTCCCCCCCGTGCCCAGTGTGTGTCCCCAGTGTCCCCCCACGATGCCCGGTGTGTGTCCCCAGTGTCGCCCCACGATGCCCGGTGTGTGTCCCCGTGTCCCCCCACGATCTCTGTGTGTGTCCCCAGTGTCCCCCCACGATGCCCGGTGTGTGTCCCCGTGTCCCCCCACGATGCCCGGTGTGTGTCCCCCGTTTCCCCCCACGGTCTCTGTGTGTGTCCCCAGTGTCCCCCCCCGTGCCCGGTGTGTGTCCCCGTGTCCCCCCACGATCTCCGTGTGTGTCCCCAGTGTCCCCCCCCGTGCCCGGTGTGTGTCCCCGTGTCCCCCCACGATCTCCGTGTGTGTCCCCAGTGTCCCCCCACGGTCTCCGTGTGTGTCCCCATTTCCCCCCACGGTGCCCGGTGTGTGTCCCCGTGTCCCCCCATGGTCTCTGTGTGTGTCCCCAGTGTCCCCCCACGATGCCCGGTGTGTGTCCCCGTGTCCCCCCACGATCTCTGTGTGTGTCCCCAGTGTCCCCCCACGATCTCCGTGTGTGTCCCCGTGTCCCCCCACGATGCCCGGTGTGTGTCCCCCGTTTCCCCCCATGGTCTCTGTGTGTGTCCCCGTGTCCCCCCACGATGCCCGGTGTGTGTCCCCAGTGTCCCCCCACGATGCCCGGTGTGTGTCCCCAGTGTCCCCCCACGGTCTCCGTGTGTGTCCCCAGTGTCCCCCCCGTGCCCGGTGTGTGTCCCCGTGTCCCCCCACGATCTCTGTGTGTGTCCCCAGTGTCCCCCCACGATCTCCGTGTGTGTCCCCAGTGTCCCCCCACGATGCCCGGTGTGTGTCCCCCGTTTCCCCCCACGGTCTCTGTGTGTGTCCCCAGTGTCCCCCCCCCGTGCCCGGTGTGTGTCCCCGTGTCCCCCCACGATCTCCATGTGTGTCCCCAGTGTCCCCCCACGATGCCCGGTGTGTGTCCCCGTGTCCCCCCACGATCTCTGTGTGTGTCCCCAGTGTCCCCCCACGATCTCCGTGTGTGTCCCCAGTGTCCCCCCACGGTCTCCGTGTGTGTCCCCAGTGTCCCCCCCGTGCCCGGTGAAGGAGGAGCGTGCCCATGAGTGTGTGGTGCAGATGGAGACCCCCGGGTGCCCCCAGCGAGCGCTGCCCCCTGAGCCCCCCCGAGTGCCCCCCCGGAGCTGCCCGGAGCTGCCCCAAGGTGAGACCCCGACATTGATCCCTGCACTGAGGGGGTTTGGGGGTGTCACTCTGAGCCCCCCACTCCGCAATATAAAAATATATAAAAATATATATATGGATATAAATAGATATAAATCTATAAATCTATAAATATATAAAATATATAAATCTATAAATACATAAAATATATAAATAAATAAAATATATAAATATATACAAATACATAAAATATACATAATATGTTAAAATAAATAAATATACATATAAATGTGAAAATATAAAATATATATAAATATATTAAAATATATAAATAGAAAAATATGTATAATATATAAAATATGTATAAATATAGAAAATTACAAATATATGTAAATATATTAAATAAATACAAATATATAAATTATACATATTAAAATATATAAATATACATATAAATATAAAAATTAAAATATATTAAAAATATATATAAATATATAAATATATTGAAAATTATAAATGCATAAAATTATAAATATATAAAAATATAAAAATATATAAATAAAAATATAAAAATATATAACTATATATAAACATATAAAATAAATATAATAATATACATATATTAAAATATATAAAAATATATAACATATATAAAAATATATAAAATATATAAAGATATATAAAATATATACATATATAAATGTATATAAATGTATATAAAACTATATTTAAAGATATGAATATATTAATATCTAAATATATATAAAATGTATATAAATATATTAAAAAATATATAAATATATATTTCTAGAAAAAATTATAAATCAAACCTTCTAAACCCTAAAATCAACATCTTCCCCCACAGCGACCCCCCAGGACCCCCAGGCCCACCCCGAGGGCCCCCCAGCACAGAACGGGTACCCCAAACCCCCCCAGCACGGTGAGTATGGGGGTGCCCCACTGCCCCCCAACCCCTGTGGGGGGACCCTCCTCATGTCCCCCATGTCCCCCATGTCCCCCTGCAGGTTCACCGCTGAGCTGGAGCCCCGCCACCATCTACACCCCGACTTTGGGGGGGTCCCAGCCCCCTCCCCACCACCCTCCCGGCAGCCAGAGCCACCCCCAGCACTGCTGTAGGTTTGGGGGGCGCTGGGTGACACTTTGGGGGGGATCTTCACTGTGCTGACCCCTCTCTACCCACCCAGGGCCCCCCATGCTGCAGCCCCCCGTGTCCACGCACCCCGGTGAGTGCCCCCCACCCTTTTCAGCACCCGTGGGTGCCGTGACCCCCCCAAAAACCCCCAATTTCCCCCCGTTCCAGGCCCGGAGTTCTGGTGCTCCATCGCCTACTTCGAGCAGGACGTGCAGGTGGGGGAGATCTTCAAGGTGCCCTCGAGCTGCCCCTCGGTGGTCGTGGATGGATACGTGGATCCCTCGGGGGGTGCCCGCTTCTGCCTGGGGCAGCTCTCCAACGTGCAGCGCTGCGCCGCCAGCGAGAGGGCACGGTGGGCACGGGGGGCACGGGGGGCATGGGGGGAATGGGGGGCACAGGGGGAATGGGGGGCACGGAGAGCGCACGGTGGGTCAGGGAGCACGGGGTCATGGGGGTGATGGGGGGTGAGGGGGAAATGGGGGACATGGGGGGTGAGGAGACACGGGGGGCATGGGGGAGATGGGGATCAGGGGGGCATGGGGAGCACAGAGGGGCAAAAAGGGGGAAGGGGGCACGGGGGGTGAGAGGGGCATAGGGGGCGTGGAGGGGTATGGAGGGGATGGGGGCAATGGGAACATGGGGGGCATGGGGGTCGGGAGGCATGGGGGGCACAGGGGGGTGTGGAGGGCATGGTGGGCACGGTGGGTCAGGGGGCATGGGGTGCACTGGAGGGTTAAGGGGGGCACGGGGGGCATTGGGAAGGGTTGGGAGTAATGGGGGGAATCGGGTCTGGGAATGGGGCAGGAGGGGTGAAGGATGGGGGGCAAAAGGGGGAGGGTTGGGGGATAAATGGGAAAAGGGGGATATGGGCGAAATAGGGGATAGTTAGGGCAGAAGGAGGAAAAGGGGAAAAATCAGCAGAAATTGGGAAAATGGGGTGATGAGGAAAAGAGGGATCCAGAAGAGATAATTAGGGCAGAATAGGAGGGGATAACAGGGGGTAATGGGGGCGGAAGGGAGGAATATGAGGGGAAAATGTGGGATAATCAGGGCAAAACAGGGAGAACCTGGGGCCTGGGGCAGGTGAAACAGGGGCTGGGGGTCCTGGGGGGCTCGGGGGTCCTGGGGGGCTCGGGGGTCCATGCTGACCCTCTCCCCAGGCTGCACATCGGCAGGGGCGTGCAAGGAGCAATGAGGAGACAGGGCTGGGCAGGTGGAACAGGGAACTGGGGGGTCCTGGGGGGCTCGGGGGTCCTGGGGGTCCGTGCTGACCCTCTCCCCAGGCTGCACATCGGCAGGGGCGTGCAGCTGGAGCGCCGCGGAGAGGGCGATGTGTGGATGCGCTGCCGCAGCGAGCACGCCGTGTTCGTGCAGAGCTTCTACCTGGACAGGGAGGCGGGCAGGGCCCCCGGCGACGCCGTGCACAAGGTGTACCCCGGAGCGCACGTCAAGGTGGGGTCCCCGAGGGTCCCCGAGGGGCTGGGGGGGGGTCTGTGTTTGGATTTTGGGGGGTTCTGCGCAGTGGGAGCGCCCCAGGGATGGAGGGACGCCCCCAACCCTAAATGTGCCCTGCTCAGGGGTGCCCTCGTGTGGTGGAGTTTGGTGTTTGCAGGGGTTGGGGGAGGAGGGAAGAGGTGAGGATGTTGGGTTGGTGTTTTAGAAGGTTTGATTTATAAATAAATAAATTTTTATTTTTATTTATTTTAATATTTATATTTATTTTATATTTAGTTATTTTTTTATTATTAATAATTTTGTGGTTTTATTTATTTATAAAGCAAACCTTCTAAAACATAATTTTTTATAAATATGTATTTGATAGATAAATTTATAATATATTATATATGTAGTATATATTATACATTTATATATATATTGTATCAAATATATATCTACTATATAGTAGTATAATTATTGTATTAATATATAATAAATATAAAATAACACATAATAATGTAATTTATTATAAAATATATAAAATATATAATAAAATATGTAATATATATAATGTAATATATAATATATAACACTATCTATAATATATAGCATGTAATGATGTATATTAATATAATATATGACAGTATATAATAATATACTAATATGTGTCATATGATTTATATATTTATTTATACATTATATCAAGTATATATTTATTTATGGATAAATATATATTTGATAAATATATAAATTATTTATTTATTTATATATATATATATAATATTAAAATTCTATTAAAAAATAGAAGAAAGGAGGTTAGTTAAAAATAGAAAAGGAATGGTGATAAAGGTTTGTGATTGACTGAGACAGTCCGGACAGATTAATTAGAAATAATTAGAATGATTAATTAGAAATAATTCCATGAGACCAATCACAGATCTACTTGTTGCATTTTATAGCAGTAGATAATTAATTGCATTTTATAGCAGTAGACCAATCACAGATCTACTTGTTGCATTTTACAGCGGCAGATAGTTATCATTTACATTTTCTTTATGAGGTTTCTCAGCTTCTCAGGAGAAAAAAAAAATCTTAAAAAATCTTTAAAAAAAACTCCTAAAGAAAAGATTTTTGATAAACCATGTTTGTCCCCCCCCGGTGTCCCCTCCCCAGGTGTTTGACCTGCGGCAGTGCCACCGGCAGATGCAGCAGCAGGCGGCCACGGCCCAGGCTGCGGCCACTGCCCAGGCGGCCGCGGTGGCCGGGACCATCCCCGGGGCCGGGGCCGTGGGGGGCATCGCCCCGGCCATCGGTGAGTGACCACGGGGGTGGTCAGTGCCTGTGCTGACCCCCCTGAGTGACCACGGGGGTGGTCAGTGCCTGTGCTGACCCCCCTGAGTGACCACAGTGCTGGTCAGTGCCTGTGCTGACCCCCCCGGGTGACCACAGTGCTGGTCAGTGCCTGTGCTGACCCCCCCGAGTGACCACAGTGCTGGTCAGTGCCTGTGCTGACCCCCCCGGGTGACCACAGTGCTGGTCAGTGCCTGTGCTGACCCCCCCGAGTGACCACAGTGCTGGTCAGTGCCTGTGCTGACCCCCCTGAGTGACCACGGTGCTGGTCAGTGCCTGTGCTGACCCCCCTGAGTGACCACAGTGCTGGTCAGTGCCTGTGCTGACCCCCCCGAGTGACCACAGTGCTGGTCAGTGCCTGTGCTGACCCCCCTGAGTGACCACAGTGCTGGTCAGTGCCTGTGCTGACCCCCCCGAGTGACCACGGGGGTGGTCAGTGCCTGTGCTGACCCCCCTGAGTGACCACGGTGCTGGTCAGTGCCTGTGCTGACCCCCCCGAGTGACCACGGGGGTGGTCAGTGCCTGTGCTGACCCCCCCGAGTGACCACAGTGCTGGTCAGTGCCTGTGCTGACCCCCCTGAGTGACCACGGGGGTGACAGGACCCCATGGTGACCACCCCTGAGTGACCACGGGGGTGGTCAGTGCCTGTGCTGACCCCCCTGAGTGACCACAGTGCTGGTCAGTGCCTGTGCTGACCCCCCCGGGGCTGTCCCACCACCCCTGAGTGACCCCAGAACGGGCTGGAACCCCCCTGAGTGACCCCAGGGTGGGCTGGGACCCCCATGAGTGACCCCAGGACAGGCTGGGATCCCCATGAGTGACCCCAGGGTGGGCTGGAACCCCCATGAGTGACCCCAGGACAAGCTGAGCCCCCCGTTGTGACCGTGTCCCGCCCCCCAGGGCTGTCGGTGGCCGCGGGGCTCGGCGTGGACGACCTGCGGCGCCTCTGCCTCGTTAGGCTGAGCTTCGTTAAGGGCTGGGGGCCCGACTACCCCCGCGCCAGCATCACCTGCACGCCCTGCTGGATCGAGGTGCACCTGCACCGCGCCCTGCAGCTGCTGGACCACGTCCTGCACGCCCTGCCCGACGCACACGCCTGAACCCTGCGAGGAATGCCAAAAAAAGAGGAAAAAAGGGCAAAAAAATGAAGAGAAATGGCAAAAAAAAACGAATCGAAATGACCAAAAATTTGTTTGTTTAACGGTTATTTAATGGGTCGAGTCAGGCCTTGTGGCCTGGGTGTAGTGCAGCCCTCAGTGCTGATTTCCATCTCCTGCTTTAACTTTTGTATGAAAATAAACTAAAAAACAATTTTAAAAATGAGGCAGAAGGACAAACACTGTGTTATTTTAACCATTATTTAATTATTTACTGGACGGGGTTGGAATCTGTGGCCTGTGACAGACGCTCAGCAGCGCAGTTGTGCCGCCAGATGGGCCTCCAGATTTGCCTCCATCTGTGCCTTTAAGACTACATTTCCCAGCAGCCCCCGCGGTGCGCCCCGGAAGCTGCCGCTCCTCCCCCTCATGGCGGACTCTGTTTCCCAGCAGCCCCCGCGGCGCACACCGGAAGTGGCCTCTACTCCTCCTCACGGACTCGGTTTCCCGGCAGCCCCCGCGGCACGCACCGGAAGTGGCATCTACTCCTCCTCACGGACTCGGTTTCCCGGCAGCCCCCGCGGCACGCACCGGAAGTGGCCTCCACTCCTCCTCACGGACTCGGTTTCCCGGCAGCCCCCGCGGGTTAAGATGGCGGCGGGGAGCGGCCCCGGTGCTCGGGAGCTCTTTGCTGAGGGGCTGCTGCAGTTCCTGCGCCCCGCCGTGCGACAGCTCGACCGCCACGTCCACAGCGTCAGGTGCGGGCACCGAGAGCGGCATGGAGCGGGGCAGGGACGGGCCGGGAGCGGGGCTGGGCGGGCTGGAGGGCTGAGGGGTAGGGAGAGCCGGGGAGGGCTGGTCTGTGGGGATGAAACGATTTGAGGAGCACGTGAGGGTGAATTTTGGGGATGTAGAGGTACGTGAGGGCGAATTTTGGAGGTTTTGGGGTAAGTGAGGGTGAGTTTTGGCACTGAAAGGATTTGGGGGTACGTGAGGGCAGTTCTGTGGGGCTGAAGGGCTTTGGGGGTACGTGAGGGCAAATTTTGGGGATGTAGGAGTACATGAGGGTGAATTTTGGCACTAAAGAGCTTTGGGGGTTCACGAGGGTGAATTTTGGCACTGAAGGGATTTGGAGGTACATGAGGGCGAATTTTGGAGATTTTGGGGTACGTGAGGGCAAGTTTTGGGACTGAAGGGCTTTGGGGGTTCATGAGGGTGAATTTTGGCACTGAAGGGATTTGGGGAGTACGTGAGGGCGAATTTTGGGGATTTGGGGGAACGTGAGTCGGGCAATTCTTGGTGTTGTTGCTTGGGGGGTGCTGGCCACACATCTCCCATCATTTTGTGGGTGAACACAGCCGAATTTTGGGTGTAAATCCCGATTTTCCCCCATCCCCAGGGAGAGCCAGGTGGAGCTGCGGGAGCACATCGACAGCCTGGCCACAGGTGAGCCCAGCCCTGGCTGGGGGTCCCCCCTGTCCCCCCATCATCCTGAGGGGGGCACGGGGGGCTCACGCAGACCCCTCCCCAGAGCTGTGCCGCATCAATGAGGACCAGAAGGTGGCTCTGGACCTCGACCCCTACGTGAAGAAGCTGCTGAACGCCCGGCGCCGCGTGGTGCTGGTCAACAACATCCTGCAGAACGCCCAGGTGAGGGATGAACAAGGAAATTCGGGGGGGTCTCAGATCCCCCCAAGGTGCTGACAGGTGATTTTTGTGGTTTTTTGTGATTTTTGTGAATTTTTTTGATTTTTTGTCACGTCCAGGAGAGGCTGAGGAGGCTGAACCACAGCGTGGCCAAGGAGACGGTGAGGAGGAGAGCAATGCTGGAGGCTGGGGGCTACCAGGCCAAGTGACCAAATGACCAAATGACCATCCAGGTGACCAACAGGGCATGATGATGGAGCAGGAATTGCTGAAATTGAGGGGCTGTCCCCCCATCACCTGCACATGAGGGATTTGGGACGCTCCGAGCCGCAATCCCGGATTTGGGGGCGCTGGAATAAACGTGACTGAGAGTTTGTGGTGATGATAATCCCACGTCCCTGAGGGACCCTGGGGACAACACAGGTGCGGCCAGGGGGGGCTGGGCACCCCCAGGTTGGACTTGGGCATCCCCAGGTTGGATTTGAACACCCCCAGGTGGAATTTGTGGGGTCCAGGTGGAATTTAGGAGGCACAAATGGGGTCTGGACACCCCCAGGTGGAATTTGGGAAACCCAGGTGGAATTTGGGAGGCCCCAAGTGGGGTTTGGGCACCTCCAGGTTGGATTTAGAACATTCCCAGGTGGAATTTGGGATGATCAGGTGGGGTTTGGGCACCTCCAGGTGAAATTTGGGAAGCCCAGGTGGGGTCTTGGCACCACCAGGTTGGATTTGGGAGGCTCAGGTGGGATTTGGGCACCTCCAGGTTGGATTTGGACACCCCCACATGGAATTTTGAGAGGCTCAGGTGGGGTTTGGGCACCTCCAGATGGAATTTGGGAGGCACAGGTGGAATTTGGGAAACCCAGGTGGGGTTTGGGCACCTGCAGGTGGAATTTGGGAAACCCAGGTGGGGTTTGGGCACCTCCAGGTGAAATTTGGGAAGCCCAGGTGGGGTCTTGGCACCACCAGGTTGGATTTGGGAAGCTCAGGTGGGACTTGGGCACATCCAGGTTGGATTTGGACACCCCCAGGTGGAATTTGGGATGCTCAGGTGGGGTCTGGGCACCTCCAAGTGGAATTTGGGAGGCTCAGGTTGGATTTGGACACCCCCAGGTAGAATTTGAGAGGCCCAGGTGGGGTTTGGGCTGCCTCAAGTGGGATTTGGACACCCCCAGATGGAATTTTGGAAGCCCAGGTGGAATTTGGGAAGCCCAGGTGGGGTCTGGGCTGCCCTGAGTGGTGTCTGGACACCCCCAGGTGTTTCCTCCAAGTTCTGGATCCTTCTCCTGCTGCCCCACCTGTCCCACGCACACCTGAGCACACGGCACGCGCTGGAAATGGGGGAACACTTTAATGTGCAAGTACAAAACAGGGACAGGGCACCACAGGGACACCGGGCTGCGTCCCCTCACCTGCTGCAGCTGCCACAGGTGTCACTCCTGCGTCTCCATGCTCTCCTCTTCCTCCCCGGCCGCCGGCTCCTCCTGGTTCTCCTCCTCTTCCTCCCCTTCCTTCTTCTCCGGCGGTTTCTCGTACGCCTTCTCCGACGGCGTCACGATCACCCCGTCCCACGTGGACATCTCAGAGGCCAGGTCTGCCCCAGGAGGTGACACTGGGCACCTCCTCGAGGTGACACCGGCCCCGTCCCCACCCTGACACCCCCAAACTCACAGCTGGCATCACCCTCCTGCCCCAGGATCTTCCTGTACCCTCCGTGGCTCAGGATGCGCACCAGGGTCTGCGCGGTGTAGCACACCATGTCCTGGTGATGAGGAGGGGACAGTGTGAGGACAGGGAGCCCCCCCAAAAGTGTCCCCTGGCCTTTTGGGGTCCCCTCCTGACCTGCTGCTCCAGCGTCATCACCGTGTGCACGCGGAAGTTGCCGCTCTCGCACGGGTCCGTGATGCCCACGGAGCCGGGCAGGAAGAGCCCGGCCGCCAGGATCTGCAGGCAGCGCCTGCGGAACGGGGGAAAGCGGGGTGAAAAATGGGAAAAAACAGCCCAGGAAATCCCTGATGGGGGGGATGGGTTTGTCTCCCAGGAGATTCCAATGGTTTTGTTGGGAAAATGGATCATTTCAGGAAAAAACAGCCCAGGAAATCCCTGCTGGAGGAGATGAGTTTGTCTCCCATGAGATTCCAGTGGTTTTGTGAGGAAAATAGAGCCACAAAGGGAAAACCACCAGGAAATCCCTGATGGAGGAGATGGGTTTGTCTCCCATGAGATTCCAGTGGTTTTGTGAGGAAAATGGAGTCACAAAGGGAAAACCCCACCAGGAAATCCCTGATGGAGGAGATGGGTTTAGCTCCTGGTCAGCCCTTGAGATTCCAATGGTTTTATCAGGAAAATGGAGCCACAAAGGGAAAACAGCGCCAGGAAATCCCTGATGGAGGAGTTGGGTTCGTCTCCCAGGAGATTCCAATGGTTTTGTTGGGAAAATGGAGCCACAAATGGAAAAACCCCACCAGGAAATCCCAGCTGGATTTATCTCCCATGATATTCAAGTGGTTTTGTTGGGAAAATGGAACCACAAAAGGAAAACCCTACCAGGAAATCCCAGCTGGATTTATCTCCCAGTCAGCCCATGAGATTCCAATGGTTTTGTTGGGAAAAACTGAACCACAAATGGAAAACACCAGCAGGAAATCCCAGTTGGAGGAGATGGGTTTGTCTCCCAGACATTCCATGAGATTCCAATGGTTTTGTCGGGAAAATGGAGCCACAAATGGAAAACCCCACCGGGAAATCCCAGCTGGGTTTATGCCCAGTCAGCCCATGAGATTCCAATGGTTTTATCAGGAAAATGGAACCAAAAAGGGAAAACACCAGAGCTGATTTATCTCCCAGTCGGCCCATGACGTTCCAATGGTTTTGTTGGGAAAATGGAACCACAAAAGGAAAACACCACCAGGAAATCCCAGCTGGATTTATCTCCCATGATATTCAAGTGGTTTTGTTGGGAAAATGGAACCACAAAAGGAAAACACCACCAGGAAATCCCAGCTGGATTTATCTCCCAGTCAGCCCATGAGATTCCAATGGTTTTGTCGGGAAAATCGAACCACAAATGGAAAACACCAGCAGGAAATCCCAGCTGGGTTTATCTCCCATGACATTCCAATGGTTTTATCAGGAAAAATGCTTTTATCCCACAAGGGGAACCCTGTGGGATGGAAACCCCACTGACCTGTAGGCGATGTTGAGGGCCAGGGGCTGCCGGGTGGGGTTGTTCATCACGGCGTAGTGACCCTGCAGAGGGAAGGAACAGGAATCAGGAGAATCCCAGAATCCCAGCTCCTGCTGGGACCGGGACCAGGACCAGGATCACCATCACCGCGTCGGTGGCCCCACCAGCAGGTCCAGGATCCAGGGTGT